CCCCTTGAAACTCCATTAACCGGTGACGACCTAAAATGTTTTTTAAAAGGGAAATAATAACAAACTGGCAATAGCTATACGATGTCATTGTAGTAGGAAAATATGATCGTTCCTTATTCCCAGTTGGAAGATGGAGAAATAATTCTATCCTAAAAATCCTATTTCATAACTGGGCAGGTATTTGTGGATCGTATTTGCATAGAATCGGGCAAAGACCATTCCCAAAATGTGCAACCTGCGACGTAGTAGAAAGTCTTGAACGTACTTTGCTAAAATAAGGCTAAAATAAGAGATATCCACCTTTACAAATCTTGTAATAACTTCACAACTTTTCGTGGTCCGATTGACCGAATAATATTTTTCAATTAATTAATCTTTATTTAAGGTAGTGGTTGAGATAAAAAAGTCAGTGTCACGAGCGGGTTTCGAACCCACGACCTTCCGGTAAGTACGCCGATGTTCTATCACTTGAGCTATCGTGACATCGACACCAACTTCCCATCTCAACCCCTCCTTTTTGCTATTTATCAAATGTCAAAAAAAATATTTTGACCTATTCCACTGGAAGCGTTTTTTTTTTCATTTTTGTCACCTAGCCATAAAATAAGGATCGTACATTTTGAAATACACAATTTCTGGCCCTAAAGAAGAGAAATTAAACTTTCTTCGGGTTGTAATACTGGTGAAGTTGGTTATAATCCAGAGGAGTAAGAATTGTTAGGGGGAATACAAACCAACAGAAAAAGAAAAATCGACACAGATGTATCGAGGCTACAAATATTCAATTTTTGATTCTCATGAATATTTGTTTTAAAAGGATTACCCGGGCGTTTTAAACGAATCTGATTTGATGTACAAAAAAATTGTTTTTACCTATTTCAATGGAAGCGTGTTTCCACTTTTGTCAGCTAGCTATAAAATGAGAATAGTAGATGTTGAAATACATAATTTCTGACCCTAAAGAAGAGAAATTAAACTTTCTTGGTTGTAATACTGGTGAAGTTGGTTAAAATCCAGAGGAGTTATGAATTGTTAGGGAGAACACAAACCATCGGAAAAAGAAAAATCAACCCCGGTGTATCCAGGTTAAAAATATTTAATTTTTGATTCTCATGAAAATTTGTTTTGAAAAGATTAACCGGGCGTTTAAAAACGAATTTGATTTGATATGCAAAAATAATTATTTTGGCCTATTTCACTGGAAGCGCTTTTCCATTTTTGTCATCTAGCCATAAAATGGGTATCGTAGATGTTGAAATACATAATTTCTGACCCTAAAGAAGAGAAATTCAACTTTCTTGGAGTTGTAATACTGGTGCAGTTGATTAAAATCCCGAGAAATTATGAATTTTTAAATGAAATACTTGACATCAGAGATATAAACAATAGCCCCTGGCAAAACCAGTCCAAAAATGTATTTTTTATATTTTTTATTTGCGTTAAAAATGAGTATTCAGTGGTTTTACCCGGTTCATAAAACGAGTTCGGATAGAGTTAAAAAAAAAAATTGAACCTACATTACTGGAAGCGTACTTTGGCATTTGCGTATTTTTATACCTAATCTCACTTTATGCAATCCTCTATATTATTTTCTTATCTTAGATAACAAAACTAATCGAGTGATATATAACAACGTTCAAATTTATGCATAACAAAACGCAAAATAAAGCCATTGGCAAGAATGCTCGGACACATGTCGATTGTAAGTGAGAAATAGCATCTACATTGTTTCCTTAAAGCTACAAGATGTGCAAAGATAATAATATCATTATTCAAAGGTAGTAGGCTGTAAAATCCTTTTATTGTGTTTTCTTCAAATCTGTCATATAATAGTACTTGGTGTCTTTATGGTACTGCATTCTTCTCCTAACAGTGTTTACAGTTCCGGTTAACTCGGTTCCTTCCTAATAAGAATAGTCAAATTGTTTTGATCGTCTACTTACATGCCAGACATACCAGCCACTGACGAACCTGCCGCCCCATCACCGCCCAGTCGACAAATGACTCAGGGATATCTCAAAGGTCACTTATCTGCAGGTTAATGTATATGACCTTCATTGTTGTGATGGCAAACAAAAAGAAGATCGGAAATATCTTTTATTTGTAAAATTGTGAAAGTTTGCGTGGAGAGTTGTGCCAACCGATTCCTAGGCGAAATAGTTTTAATTCCCTACAGGCGTGTAAGTCGCTATCATGCGTGAAAAAGTTTGGTTTTAATGATAATACACATATACAAAAATGATATGAATAAATACAAAGAAAGATAAAAAATACAAATAAATATCTACTATGTAGATATAGAAAGTGTTAAGAGAAATGGTGATAGAGAGATATAGCTAGAAAAATATTTCGATATCATATGGTGTTATATCGGAAATAATGTTCACTCAAAGGACAAAAAATATATGTGTTTTTATCGTTACAATCACCAGGTCAACCAAATTAAACGAGATGAAAATTTCTGGTGTGACGTACGTTTTAGACAAAAATTTCTTCATCGTGCCAACGTTTCGATCATTATTGAGATCATCTTCAGGGCCTGGACTTTATATACATATTTTAAATTTTACAAATACTTATAGGAACTGAAAAAAATGAATTTACACAATGCTAGAAAATTTTAGATTAAAAAAATGAATTTATACAATTCTAGAAAATTTTAGATTAAAAAATGATTTTATACAATGCTACAAAATTTTTGATTAAAACAAATGAATTCATTCAATGCTAGAAAATTTTAGATTAAAAAAAATTAATTTACACAATGCTAGAAAATTTTAGATTAAAAAAATTTATACAATTCTAGAAAATTTTAGATTAAAAAATGATTTTATACAATGCTACAGAATTTTTGATTAAAACAAATGAATTCATTCAATGCTATAAAGTTTGAAATTAAAATTAAAATGTGAGGTAGATCAAAATCTGTTATATTATTAATGCATTTATCACCAAGTTCAATTTTACATTTTTTAATTTCAAATTTCTTAACCCAATCTAATTCTTTCCCTTTGTTGAAACTATGTAACACTCTTGTATTTAAATTTGAATTGAAATTATGTTTTGTTTCTTTTAGATGGTCCTTAAATTCCGAAAACTTGCTCGGTTTAGGCAAGTGTTCTTTTACTCTTGTTTTTATTTCTCTACCGCTTTGTCCTATATATTAAATATTATAGTCATTACAATTGAGTTGGTAAACCCAGCTTTTTGCCAAATTGTCTACTTTGTCTTTAGGTTTTGAGAGAATGTTTTTAAGTGAACCCGTACTTCTAAACGCTATTCTAAAACCTTCTTGTTTAAAATTGAACAAATTTTGTTGCATTTACAATTACATAGTTTCAACAAAGGGAGAGAACTAGATAGTTTTGAGAAATTTGAAATTAAAAAATGTAAAATGTAAATTTGAACATGGTGATAAATGCATTAATAATATAACAGATTTTGATCTACCTTCCATTTTAAGTATGTACATAAATAATATCAAACATCCAAATAATTAAACTAATTATTTTAATTGTTATTATTTTTATAGTAATTTAATAATATTAAGCATTCACTAGTATAATATTTATTTGTGTTATAATTTCCGCGTTTCGCACGTTCAAATTGAGCGCAATTAAAAAAATCAGCTGCTAATTGGAACGTTGCGTTGGCGGAGGTATCAGCGGGTTCACTTTGGCAATTCATGTCGAGAGACGTGGTTGTAGAAGTCATTCAACCTGATGATGAGCTTAAAGGCTCGGAATCCGGTCGTTGCAAAACAACTTACTGTGAGTAGGAACTATCTTTTTAAAAAGGAAGAAAATGTTTTTCTAAAACCTACGTCACACCATACCGCATCTCACGATGTCCGAATAATCATTGACCAATGGTCACTAAACACCACACTTTATCTAATTATGATAGTTTGAAAGAAAATCACCAAAACACTGGATAATCATTTAGTGATAGATTAAAAATTAACTAAGGGGCATGGACGTTTATCCCACCCCATACCATAACTGACCGTCGTTGAAAAGGTTGTGACTCACGCATGGCACATGAAGCAAAATGTTCTCCACTTCTTCCCCACTCACAGCCACGATCATCTTATTGCCACAAACCAAAACGGCACTGATCAGTGAAGAGAACAGCTCCCATTGTTCAATTTTCCGTTCGAGATTCTAATTTGAAGGTAGTTGCTTTTCTGCTTGATGCATATCCAGTAATAAAGAACTTGATGCGGTGTGTCAAGAGACTTGGCTATTTTCACGAAGCTTCCTAATTTCTTTTAAAGTTACATCAATTAAAGGACGTAGTGCGGTAGGAGCAATAAAAGGATCAATCAGAGTCGTACATCGCGGTCGACCACTACCCACCTTCTTTTCGACCGAGACTTCCGATGGCCCTAAACCGCTGTAGACCCTGGATAGCAGAGCGCTGTAAACTGCACACTCAGGATTTGGGCTGTGTAACTACCATCGTTGTCTCGTCTGCCCGAGTGAGATCTTCTCAACTCATGCTTTTAAGAATTACTGTTTTAGAGTTAACCCTTCCATTACGGGATTTGGAGTTGACTCCTATCAATAAAGTCGTTAAATGACGACGCCATAGTTCATAAGAGCAATAAAACGATTATCTCCGATCGTCGTCCATTGCTGTCGACCACCTCCTTAATGTCGATGGAGACTTCTGGTGGCCCTAAACCGCTTTAGACCCTCGTGTATGGTAGAGCGCTGCACACTGCACACCCAAGATTTGGGCTGTATAACGGACGTTACGACTACCGTTGATCAGGCTCTCCCGGCTTTCCTCGACATGCTTTTAAGAAACAAATATTAATTACTTTTTTATTCAAATTTATTGTTTCATCAAAGAAAACTATTTAAAAAAACCAATTAACTCATCCGACCAATTGGCTCCGGAAAGGATAATATTGAACTGATTTTCTTTCTTTTTAATGTAAAGAATGTAAACTGATTAGTAATATTCTGTAAAGATAAACCAGTTATTAAAATTATTAATTTTATTTATACCTAGAAAATAGACAAATAAATACAAGTGTAAATGAATATCTATAATACTTACTGACATCAGATCATTTTTAACCTGAAGCTTTCATACATAAATAGACATGTAGACGACAAACCAATGGTAAACGTGACAGCCAATAAGTGACACTCAAAGATAGCTTGATGTTAAGAAAATTTATTTTGTACAAAAATAAAAGGGCTTTGGTAAAACATGTCACGTGGTTATCACACTCACTTCATTACGCACTAATTGACTAATTTATTAATTACAAAAAAGTCGTTTAGCTCTATGGCTTCGTTTCTGTACCATTTTTCTTAGAGACGATTTCGTTAGAATTCAATTCTAAATTTATCTGATGGAGAGTCTTTCCAGCTGTTTCTTTGATGGAGAAATTTATTAACACAGTGCCGACGAGGGAAATCGTTGCGTATATCCAGTAGTTCATGTAGACGCCAAAAGCTCGGGTGACGGGCTCGTAGGTTATCAGGTTGACGAAGCTGGCGACGCTGGCGAAAGAGCTGGCCACCCCGCCGCCGATCCCGCGGGTGTTCGACGGGAACATCTCGGCCTGAAGAATCTGTGAAATCGGCGCCAAGCCGATGTCGGAAAAGACGCAAAAACCGATCAATCCGACGAACAGCAATGAATGAGGGAGGGTCGAGTAGTCCTTTTCGACAATGTAGAAATACAGACCGAGGAAGAAGTGCGAAATGAAACATCCCGTGCCAGAGATTAACAGAAGACTCCTTCTGCCGACGATATCGGACAGGTATGCCGACATCAAAGCTACGCATGTAAGAAGGACACCGAGTAAAATCGTAAGAGTTTCTTTAGACATAGGTAATTTTGGTGAAGTTCCGAAAGTATCAGTTGCATAGTTGATCATTGAAGGCATCCCAGTTAAATATCTTATCGCGTTGACCAAAAGAACAATCCATAAAGCTTTTCTGTCTTTCTCTGTTTTGAATAATTGAATAAAGCCTTTTCTCTTCATCTCATCTTCAACAGCGGGTTTTAATTCCTTCAAATCGCTATTTACTTTTTCCAACGGTCTAATTCGACTCATGACATCGGACGCCTTCAAATCTTGAGATTTCATTAAGAAATAATAAGGCGTTTCTTTGATCGTTATTAGCAAAATTATATTAATAATGGATACGACGATGCAGAGTAGTGAGTAATAAGGAAGGTCTAGGTTCAAACTAGCAACATAGGATATCAATATCCCAAGGTACCATAACGTCTGGATGTGTCCGGTCAACCTTCCCCTTATATTCGGCTCGGCGATTTCCGCTATGTAAATCGGTACAATGGTGAACGTGACACCCAATCCGATTCCTTGTAACACCCTGCCTATCATAAGTAAGACTGTATTTTCACACCACAAGTACACGAACCAGCTCAGTAGGAAGAACACCGGGATGGCCAGTAAAACAGGTTTTCTTCCGAATCTGAAACAGAATACTTAAAATGTTGAATATAATTTGAAACTTTGAAGCTTACCTGTCGGCTAACATCCCAGATGGAATCGGAGCGACCAAAGCGCCTAGTTCTATTATTGAAACTAACCAAGAAATCCCATCGGACGATATATTGTAGTTGTGGTTGCAGCTCAACAAATATGGTGTCATCGGTCCAACCCATGCAAAGCACATGGCTGAGGCGAATACCAGATAATTGCCTTAAAACATTATAAATACAACTGATTATAAATTAAAACGGCAAATTTGTATTTTATACTTAAAAAGCTGAGCGTTTCTAACTTCAGCCAGGTTAGATTGCAAATTGGTGAATAAACATTTCGAACATGCCGTAATAATAACTAAAGTAAAACATCCATTCGTAGAAATGTGGACTAATTATACGATCCCATAAACATCCTTTCCAACAACCTACAAAGGCTTAGCAGATTATAAAGGAGAGGAAGTAAATCAGAAGGAAATCAAATACAACGATATGGTATATCGATGGTTCAAGCACAAAATATGCGCAATGAAACTTATTAGGGTTGTACACGTCTGTCTTACAAGCTGAAGTACGTGCTGAAAATGTTTGTATCATAGAAAATCTTAAAAGAGGTTGCACTATCCATTAATGCACATAAGCTCAGACAACCAAGAAGCCATAAAATAACTTACACGCAAAAACGTCACATCGGAAATAATCAGTGAATGCATCTCGAATCGCCAAAACCTGGAGAAATAAACAAACTGAAAATACCTTGGATTCAGAGCAATGAAAAAAATCAGAAAATTGCCAGAAGAGGACCTGCAAGTTCATACAGCCCAGAGCCTAAACTTCCGATAACGAGGAAAAATACAGAATCCTCCATCCCAGATTGGATTCACAAAATACGGAAGGAGAAGTGGGCTAAGTCCAAATGCGCCTTAGTTAACTCATGACTGAACAACAACCCTAAAACTGGCCAGCACATTCCTACAATTTGGGTATAAGTCAGACACTGGCATCTAAAAAAGCACGTAAATTCAATGATGACGCGATTAGTAGATTATGCAACGATATGTCATTCATAAAGAGACACTGAGTCAGATAGACGCAGGCAAACTAGCCAAAGGAATATCTCAAGACTAATGACAGGCCTAGAAGCTAATTATCAATTAAATAATTATTTCAAAATACGTCCTAAAAAAGTGATATTAAGCATATTCAATGATGACCCTGTAGGCTATAGAAAGGAGGAGGAATAAACTTCCACCCATAACATCTTTGAATGCGATGTAACCGGTCAATAGAGATATAACCTAGGATGTCAAGAACATCCAAGAAAAGAAAAGCAATGTACTACCTAATACTTCTTAAGATAAGGAACTAAGAAAAGTAAAATAAGCCAGAAAGATTTGAGAATATAAAACCCTACTTCCTAGTGGTTCGTCATCAGCAAGTAAGAATAATTGTTTGCCGTGTTTGCCATAAAATGCGGACTCTCTTTTTTCGCAAATAAAAATTAATAAAAAATAAATGAAAGAAAAAAATCTGCGAAAGAATAATGGTAAAGGTAATGGTAATGAGGAGTTAAAAAAAAGGGATTGGCGTAGACACTGTTTTTTAAATAGCTCCACAGAAAATAGTCATGCGGCGTTAAACCGGGTGACCGAGGAGGCCAACAGGTCAGGCCATGAGGTCCTATCCACCGGAAGTAGCGATTCATACAACGTCCCACCTGCAAAGAATTGTGTGCGGGGCATCATCAAGCTGAAGAATCAATCTTTGTCGTTGTTGTTGTTACCCTATGTAGAAATTAGGCCCAATTGATTTGTTTTTAAGAAGTCCACACCAAACGTTGATACCACCTGATGATGACAAGAGTCCGAAATTTTGGATATTCCTCAACGTTTGAAAATTCCAACTGTTTAGTATGCCATAGAGGTGAACTTGGATTCATCCAAGTCCATAGGATGTTTGTAAGAACTTTTCTTCAGTATCCCAAATCGACATTTGCGCTAGGAACGTTAGACGCCTGTCATAATCAGAATCCCAAAGTCCTCGGACAAGTTGAGAGTGATACGGCTTAAAATTATAAGTCCGGAATACATCTCTAATTTTATTTGTTGAAAAATCTAAAACATTTCAACGTTTCGGAGAGAAGAATTCGGATTATCGCGAACATACAGTAAAATATTCAGCTCCTCGGCAAAATCACTTTGCCGGTTTCTTTTTGCCACAACTTTTCCATTTTTTGACCAATTTAAAACCCGATTGCAACATTGTTTTCTGCATAAAAATCCTTTAAAATAATTTTGTAAGGTATTGGTTGAGATAAAAAAAGTCAGTGTCACGAGCGGGTTTCGAACCCACGACCTTTAGCTAAATACGCCGCTGCTCTTCCACTCGGACACCAACTTCCCATCTCAATCCCACCTTTCGAATTTTCCCTCCTTTTCGTCGTTTTTCAAATGTCGTGTAATCTATTTGATTCTTGGCGACAAATGAAATGTCCATGAAAGCTTTAGTGAAGATATACTTCAAGTGGCAAAACATCGGCGTATTTAGCCAAAGATCGTGGGTTCGAATCCCGCTCGTGGCACTGACTTTTTATCTCAACCAATACCTTGCATAAAGACTAGATAATTGAACAATGTGAATTGGACAATCGTACCACCAACTCTAATGGATCCTTTAAAATGTTGTGTGAGGATGTTTAGGGTCGTACTTGAAATATAAAGTCTAACTGGCCCTGAGGTACCCTGGATAATTTGTCTCCAAGAAAAGGAAAAATATTGAAACTAGGCTAAAAAATATTAAAATGGTATTTTTTGTTTTTTTGATAGCGTCATTGGTTCAAGAGAAATTCAGATGGTCCATCTAAAAGAACACCCTGTATACTGACGAAAAGAAAAGAAAAGGGACATGAGGTGCAAATTGGGATTAGGAAAGAAAATAAACAAGAAGCTTCTGAAAAGGACATTACCATGCACTCTGTGGATAACAAAAGAAAATTTTCCCGGCCTAAACAATGAGAGAAGCAATTCTAGTTGATTGTCTAAAAATGTTAGGCCATTTGTACATTTGCTGTTTAAAAGTATTGTTTTTACTATGAGTATAAAAATAAATTGACAAACCATTTAAATAAAAAATGGGATAATTTACTCAGGCAAAGATTCTTATAACATGACATAAACAGTTAAAAGAAAAGCGTAATCAAATATTTTCTCATTGGATTATTTAGAAAATGAATTCCTTATCTTATCCAGTTATGTAAAGCATACAAAAATGCTGTAATGAATGTAAAAAGATTCTTTGTTCAACGTGGCATTGAATATCGAAAAACCTTCTCGTAAAAAGAGCCTTTACCAAATCGTTATTAATCATCGGAAAATCAAATAAACCAAAAACTTGAAAGACAGACCAGAATTGTAAAATTTTGTAGGTGCACATTAATCCTACTATAAAGTAGCTTTATATTATATATAT